TCAACCCAATGCAGCCGATGAATCAGTTCACTGACCCCAATAATACTACTGTGTTCATGAGCGGTCTGTCCAAGTACGTCGAAGTTGTGGAAGGGGAGGGATGGGGCATGATCGGGGCTGGAGATCTAGTTGATTCAGACACCCGCGACGGGCTCTTGCCATCCTTTTTCTTCATGGCTGACATCTGGCTTGGCTCAAGGTGAGCAGTCAATATCACCTTCTGCAAGTGTCTATAGCTAATCACTAAGCAGAGATCATATATATCTTGCATTCGGTTCGATTTTAGGCCACTATCGGGGTGACATTCGACACTAGCCCCTGAATTCTGGAATGCTAGGCTTCGACTCTCACTGTTCCACCTTACGAATGCGCCTCGCTACTGTGTTTAATAAAGGCTTCTGTAAACTGTCGCTTAGTAGAGCATATCTTGCGGCTACAGAAATCGATACCCCCTCTTTCATCCCTCAAGGCCGCCTCATCATGTCTACTGCTATTCAACTAGCGGCATATCTTTGATCTCAACCTTCTAAAGCGCCGCTGGACCTCCGAGACTCCCCGCGTCGAACAGATGAGTGTCACATCGCTACTGTGATCGCTCACGGTATCCTTCCGCGTTTTAAAGGACGGACACCATCACTTGACCGTCGTCGATGAACCTGGCGTCAATGGATACACACTTCGACGAGCTTCGCCGTGTGGGGAATGAACATGGAAATCAGTTCTTCTGGATTTTCCTGTTAATGACAGAAACAGGATTGAATGGACAACGGCAACATATAGGGCAGATAGAATGAAGATGAGGACAAACTGTATAATCTACTACTCAGAAGAGAGTCAGTTGAGTAAATATTTTCTCAGTGGTCTAAAATAATGATTGCACATGAACCTCTCCGCAGAGCGAAAGATGTATTTGTGACATATCGCACTCGAAGGCTAGTGTGTCCGATGCCCATCAGGCGCAGTGACATTAGCATGCATCTTTAGAGCCTGCATACATGTGCAACCAGCTTGAAAGCGCTACATACCACTCCCCGACCAACAAACCCATGTCACAGTCTAAAGATCTAGAACATCCGAAATAATGGACGCAGCAGCGCGTCACAAAGCAGTGTGACAAGCAACGTTGCCTAGCCGGGTGAGCTACCCGGCGTCATTCGACATGGGCTCGAGGCTAATACTGCTGCCTCTCGGCTACGACACTGGCGCAGCGAGGGGGAATCTGGGGATATTAATCACTACCAATACCAACCAGGATTTCGGGAACGATTCCGATACGGGGGTCTGGTGCTGAGTTCATGTGGGAATGCGAGCCTCGTTGTGCATCCGGCAGATAGAATGTTGACCCCTGAGGCATGCGGCACCATGATGCTCACTTACATGAAATAGCGAAGTGTCAAAGTACCACCAATGAACAGAATAGAATAAATGCTTTTGAAGTTGCAAGGGGCCTTGGCACCACGTCGCTATGCTACATGACAGTCTACGCGAATAGAATCCTGGCGGGTAGATACAGAGCTGCGTACTGCACGGAGCAGCCGAGGATATCAGACAAGAAACCTACTCATAATCCTCCTCGTCACCCTCATTGCAGGTACCGTAGGCTGGCTGGCATCCGGTTGTATAGCACTGGACGGTTCCGCACCTTCCACCCGGTCCACAACACGGACCGAATCTGCTCCCAGTGCAGGTGTACCCTCGGAGTCTACCACACGTGCCGTCCGGGCTCACACGGAGCCCGACGGTGGCGCTCGGCTGGACACTCGTCGTAGTCGGCGTCGGAGGCTTCGCGGCGGCACATGTACCCCACGCAATGTTACAGCCATCACCGCAGTAGTCGGCCGTGCTGCCGCACCAGCCGTTCTGCGAGCAGCAGTCACCAAATGTCGAGCCCAGACATGTGATGCCGTTGCCGCAGCTTCCGTCCAGACTAGGGGGCGTCGGGCAGGTGCCCCAGTCGGACTGGCACCCCAGGCTGCAATGGTCGGCCGAGGATCCGCACCAGCCATACTGGGAGCAGCAGTTTCCGAACCGAGACCCCTGGCAGGTGATTCCATTACCGCACTCGCCCGTGGTGGTGATGATGTCGCCCGTCGAAGCCGGGGAGGTAGTGGCAACTGGGCCAGAGCCCAGCGTTGGTGAGACGTCAGCCTCGGCCCGGGCGACGACCGCGCTCACGGTAGGGATCTTTCCGCTCCCAGCACGGTACCAATTGGCAAGCGGATCACCGAGACACTCGCCGACAGTGACGGAGCGGAAGCCGTTCTGGAACAGGGAGGTCAAAATGTAGTCTGTCAAGTTGTAGACAGTTTGGTAGTGAATGTCATGCTCGATCTGGAGGAAGCTGTCGGTGTCCGAGTTCGCATTGGCCATGGCATCATCCCAGATATCCTTGCTGGTCTGGATTTCTGTCGGGTCATCATGAAGGTAGCCCTCCGTGTCCAGGTCGAAGTAGATGATGTGGTAGCCCAGGGCGGCCAAGATTGTCTGACAAGCCTTCTCACAGATAGAAAAAGGGGGTCTAGTCCGTATTAGTGAAGTGGCTAGGAGAGAACACAAAAATCTCAATTGTACCTCATATACGTGGGGAAGAATCCAAGAATGTCGTTCAACGCAATTTCATTGTAGACCATCTGCGCCTGTAGTTGGGCGGTGGTCAATTGGCTGGCGTTTTGATGGGACCATGTGTGACTAGCAACTTGGTGGCCTTCCTCCGTCATGCGCTGGCAGGACCTGTCAGCGTGAATCATTCCACGGCTCCCCTACCGGGCACATACCTTGATGAATCCCGCCCAAGGCAGATCCGGGTCATTGATCATGCCTTTCCCGATATTGTTTCCAGTGATGAAGAAGGTAGCTTTGGCGCCGTACGCAGCGAGTTTGTCAAGGAGGTCGCCCGTGTACTCGTATGGCCCGTCGTCAAAAGTCAGCGCAATGTCGCCTTCGTTCGTGCAATCGTAGATCCCCAGCCCGCCGTAGGGGACCTTGCCGAGCTTCGTTCTAGCAACATTGACAGTCGTTACTCCCGACGGTAGCTGGTTCCCGTCACAGCCTGGTCCGTAGTTGAGCTGACAGTCTGGACCCGAGCAGTAATCGGTACCGAGGCCGCACCACCTGTTGAGAGGACATCAGACCTCGGCGAACAAATAGTCCTGAAACATGGGGACCTACCCTTCGGCAGAGCAGCAGTATCCCGTGGCACACTTGCCATACCGCGACCCGCAGCGCCCGTCCTTGCCGCCCACCTGTCTCTTGTCCAAGGGCCCATTGTCCTCTACCGGCACGCGAGCAGCAGCAGCAGCAGCGGCGGCGGCCGTTCGCTGAACGTGAGGACGTCTGAACTTGAGCTCCGCCGGAAGCTTCCTTCGTCCGACCACATTAGGGAGGGAGTGATCGCCGTGGGCGGCCGCTACGCCGCAGCATGCAGCGATGAGTACGGAAGACCACCGCATTATGAATTAAGTACTAGTCACTGACTCCTTCACAGGGAGAGAGCTTCTAGTATATAAGCGCGGGCGGAAAGGAAGGGCTGACGCAAGCAAGAAGGCGTCCGGAGGCAGGTAAATAAGAAGGTACTGCCGGGTAAATTTGACAGAAGCTTGCTTCGTTCCGGCAGGGTGAGAAGAGAGACAGCACTCAGGGAAAAGAAACGGAAGTGAAGAGCTGATATAAAGACTAATATAGAAAGGATGGACTGCTAGTCGTGATGCAACAACACGCTTTTCTCCAGCCTCTCATTCCGAGGCTGTGTCTGAGTACTCGTGCCGGTAGCCGCCCACCTCGGATGAGATTGCCAGATGAATTTTCTCTCTACGTAGCATTTGAGTCTCGTCAGAGTAACAAGGTAACGATGTTATAGCTTGCTTTAGGCGAGGCCTGCCAACTCCATTGAGCAGATACCACTTTCTAATAGCTGACATGGGAGACAGCATTTCTGGTCAGTCGCGCCATGAGGTTGACGAAATGGAACATAACCTGGTCGACTTGGACTTGGCGAAAAAGAAGCAACTGCAACCCATCTTGCCTTCTTGGTGTCTGGTCCTTCAAGAACATGCTCCACGGAGCTGCATGGCCATTGCAGTTTCCAGAGCTCTTGATGGAGAGGTTGGAAGGGAGCTTCGAACATGTCCGCTTCCGGTAATCATGTGCCTGCATTGACAAAAAATTTCCCGGCAAAAAGGGACGATCCTTGTCAGCTTGGACGAAGGTGGTACTCGGATGATGATGTTCAAGCCCGGCAGATCTGGTGTCCCTGACGTACCTTGCAGATATAGTGTCGACGATTCCGCCGTTCGACAGATGAGGTGTGGGGTATTGCCATGTTGGAGATCGCTTCGATTGTGAATACTGGTAGTGGTCTGGCCTGTATCGTGGAGCCTATTCAGTCTCGAAGAACTGCTGCCATTTCGAAGGAACGTCGCATGCAGACTCTCATCATAAGCAATTCGTATATGCAGCAGTTTTCCATGGAACCCTGAAAACTTGTGCGTTAGTACAACCAGAAGCACTTCAAAGAGTGGTATGTTGAGGTGAGCAAGGCCCTGCATCCATATTAGCCGGCGTGGTTGATGAGAGGCTGATCTGGGGTCGTACATTGGGGGAGGCCCTATCCGCAGCCATGGAGAATATAGTGCTTGCGTTGCCTGCGTCGATCTGGGCCAAGAAACGTGTCAGTAGGGGGAGTGCAATGGCAAGATCTGCCGCGGTAGGCTCCTTCCGTCCAATAGTTCAGTTGTTAAATTTCCAGCGGGATGGGAATGCAGCGTAAGACAACATTGGATCCCCGCATTGCCATTTTCTCTAGATGGGTCTCCGTTAATAAATGCTAGAAACGAGGAAGACAGCACTGCATCGGTTAAGACGGCGAGATGATTGATGCGGATGGCGAGCTTGGAACGAGGACAAATAAATACCAATGGCAGACCACTGTGAAGTAACGTTGCTTAAATTTCCTGAGCTCTCAAAAATGCTTCAAAGAGAGACGATGCAATGCTCCGTTTGAAAGTAGACTCCAATGGAAGACCTTTCCGCGAAAGATGTAGACAAAAAGCAACACCAAGATGACATCCCCTCCAGTATTCGACCCTTTTCTAGCACAGCGCCCCCCTAAACACCGTGGACCATAATGTACAGACGTTTGTTTTGTGGTATCATAAAATTGGACTTGACTTCCACGGCCATCCTTGACGAGGTTCGTCACAAAATCCGCGAGGACGAGCTGAGCGATCTGCTTCGGCTTATTCCTCCTTCTCTTCCTCGTCTGGCTTTTCAGTGCCATGTAGGCTGTCTTCCTCCTCTTCATCTTCTTGTGCTTGATCCTCATCGGCTTCACTTGTAGCCGTTGCGGATGTTGATGAGCCAGTCGGAGTTGATGAGGAAGAGAGGGAGCCTGTTTGCGTTGCCGCCTCTTCCTCAGCCTTCTTCCTCTCTTCCTCCTCAGCTTTCCTCCTTTCCTCTTCTTCTTGTTCCTGTAGTAATTTCTTTCGTCTCGCTTCTTCAACCTCTAACCTGAGTCTCTCGCGTTCCTTCTCCTCCTCAGTCGGGTGAATTTCACCCTCCTTGTTATCGCCGTCGCAACGCTCCCTCTCGAGCTTCATGTCCATGATCAAGCTCAGTTCCGGGCAGTACTCAAAGATCTTCTTCCGCTGGGCGTGGTCCTTCCAGACATCATCATGTAGGCTGTGTCCGCCGTCGCGAATGTGGTATCCCATGGGCTCCGGGATGTAGACATCTTCGACTGCAAGGACACCCTCTGTCCCCGCGGCCACCTTTGCGCCGGGGAGAACCCACAGACGCTTGCCGAACCATTCATCCTCGGCTTCCGTGTCGTTGTAACGTTGTTGGAATGCGAGGACCCGCCTGATGGCGGACACACGTCGCAGAGAAAGTCCACCATTACCGGAGAATCGATCATCAAGAGATCTGGAAAGGAGATCAGCAACCTTCAATTAACGGCGAACATTGCATCGGAACTTACCTGGGTGCACCTGCCCAGCTCCAATCCAGCCAGTCGTTGAGACTCGTGCCGGAATTGGAGCAGAGTATGCTATCGTGCTCATATTTAAGAATCCACTCCACGCCGGGCAAGAACTCGTCGTAGAAGCGGAGATCCGTCAACAAGCGGTACACGGACTCCTTCGAGTCAATCTGCCAGGGTTCCGGCAGAACCATGAGGTCCATTTTGCCAATGACCTGCTGATGCTTGGTGGCGAACGCCCTGCCGACGCTGACGACGCTCTTCTCGGTGCCGATGAAGACGAAGCGCCAGTCGGGAGGCACGGTGTTGATCATGTGGAGGATCTGGGGGACCAGATGGGGGATCGGGCGCGGCTCGATCATCAGGGCGATCTTGGAGGCATTATAGGCGGCCTGGGGGTCGTCCGTCGGATGCCAGTCGACCTTGACCTTGGGGATCTTTTGCCTGGCCTCTGCTAGACGGGATTTGAACTCGGCCTTGATCATGGGCTGGTAATGCGGAAGAAGATGTGCCAGCCACCAGCTGTAATCAGGAAGATATCTGATAAGTATATTCGCATTTCATAAATGAGGTGAGGGATGCACATACGTGAAGACCAAGGACACGGCCAAGAAGACCTTGGCCTTGGTGATGGTGAAGATGCCAGGCGAGTGGTGAGAAGGAGCGGCAGCCATGGCGGGCGAATTGTGAGCTGAAGAATTAGGCGACGCGAGGCTGATCTGGATCGCGATTCGAGGCGACACGGCTGGTGTTGGTCGTCTTGTCGGCAGCAACTTAGATGTGACGCAACATCATGCTCGGCGACGATAGAGTTTCAGCTGCTTTACGTGTCCTCGCCAAATGACAAGATCGTCTCGTCGAGTCTCAGCAAAACAACAAGGAGACAATTACTCCGGCATGGCAAAGGTAAAAGACAATCAGCAACAGAGGGACGATTGGACTGTCTGTCTTCGCCGAGGAGTGAAGAAGAAGGGCGGCTGATGGGCCTATGGGGGAACACGAGAAAAAAGGGAGGGAGAGTCTGCCAGCGAGTAATGTCTGATAGCGGGTTGCGCAAGCACCAAGGCGGGGACCTGAGAGGTACTTCTGGGAGACTTGCTTAATTGAATTGCGGCCAACCCTGGTAAAGATTGGCTGCTGAAGCCTTATCGATAGAAAGGCCGTGGAACGCTAGGCCTTCCAGGGCTGCCAGCAAAACTGTACGTGATGGCGCCTTAGCATGTCGCCGGCTAGAGATCTGTATCTTGGTGTTACCAGTTCATCCCCGGCCCCTGAACTCACATTCCAACGCGCTCGGGGGAGAATTAAGCATTCAGCACAAGACATGCTCTCTTCGTGCCGAAGCGCTTTAAGTCGCGACTCAATACATCATCTAAGCCTCATCGTCACTAGCACGAGCATCAATCAGGCCGAGCAGCAATCGCGCTCAAGATACTCTCAACTTGGAGATTTGCGCGACAGTTTAGATGGCCACAAGATGACCCAGCTTCTAGCCCGAAAAGGCGGCTGGAAGCGCATGCTGCCGTGTGTCGTGTGTCGTATGTCGTATGTCGTGTACGAGATTAAGAGCCTTGGCTCTCACTCGAAGGGCAACTTGCGCCTATCTGATCGGCCCTAACTTAACCTGACCTGACCTGACAGGAAACATTGTGCAATGAGATGCCAGCCGCTTTCATCTCCAAGTCACTTGCCGAGACTGGCTCTCGGTCAGACAGTCTAACTCAGAGAGACACAGGAGCAGCAGCCAGTGTCAGTCAATTTTCAAATTGTAAAGTGTGACAACAGAGGCTGCGTGCAGCCGTCACCAGACGTCGTAGACGTAGAACACGAGGCTTCGCATCGTCCCTCGACACTGAAAAGTCCGTGGATCACAGCGGGAACACAAGATAGAATATGCAGTAGCACGGATCAGGGCCGTGACTTAGCTCGTACAACAAAATACTGCTGCCTGGCATGGAGGATCTCTAAGCACAATGGTGGTGACGAGTTCCCCGGATGGCGCCCGACAAGATTACGGTTTTACCGAAGGAACCGAGGATTGAGTACTGACTGACTGGGGAAATCAACCTCATACCCTGTCCAAGCAAGCGGGAAGTCAAGTGACGGCCGGGGCGATAGCGACAGCGACAGCGACAAGGCAGGGAGGGAAAAAGAGAGGTTTGAGGAGAAGTGATGTGATTGATGCTCGTATTGCGGAGTGCGTGCGTGCGCGCGGATGCATGTGGAGGAGGAGGGATGGGATATTTTTGGAAAGGGGGAGCTGGAGTCGTCGAGGACCCTGAGGATCAGTCAATCAGTCAATCAGATCAGAGATTAATGTTCCTACATGTACAGTAACTAACGTACCTAGATACCGGTAGGTTAAGGCGACTGAGGCTTAGTTAATGCTCGTGGTGTCAAAGTTACCGGTAATCACAAATTACGAGCAGCTTTTTTTTTTTTTTATTTTTTTTTTTTATTCATCGACTGTCCCAGCCGCCTTTAGGCGGCTATGCAGCGAACAACTAAAAATATAGGTGCATCTATTTCTCGCTTTCCGAGATCAGCCACTCTATGCAGGAATCAGTCTGTCTGCCAAACAATCCATTCCTACGCAAAATGCTACTCTCTGCCCAGCTTGAATATAGTCGCTCCTCTATCTAGTCTTCTATCTATTCTATATCTATGAATGTGTCAGGCTCTTCCTAGTCTTCCTCTCCTTCTATTTACTAATAATTGCTCAATGGTGCTTATATATATTAAAGTACTATAGATAAGACCATCTAGAATTGCTTTAGAAGGCTTATTCTAATCATCATCTTTGCTGTACATACTATACTGGCTAGATTACAGAGAATGTGCTTAATATCCATATATGGTTGCTTGCCTGCCTACATTAGGTGTCATTCTTTAGTCTATTTTCTATACTCTAGTAGGATATATTGTACCGTCTATCGTCCTTGGCTATAGTTATACTAATCGGTGTCTACTTTATTGATTCTATAAAGGTAGTTAGGGAGGCCAATCTTATCTATATACATTTATGCCAATATAAAGCTGATTGCTTTGTAGACTTTGGTATATATCTTAAGTAGGCTTTTCCTAGGGTAGACTCTGAGTCAGAATAGCATTCTATCATACTGTACTGTCTCCTAAGCATACTTCCACTCGGCTATAGCTGTCTGGTATATTATTGTTTTTAGTGTTGCTGTTAAGATCCTAGGTTAGGAGTCTTCTTGCCGTACGACGATACTGTCTGAATGTAAGTCTGCAGCCTCCTTTGCTGCCTAATCTGCCGCCTTATTATCTGCTATACTAACGTACGCTAAGACCTAATAGAACTGGACATCCTAGCCAGCTTTCTAGAGTTTATCAAGCAATTTTACTATCTTAATAAGGATATATTGTCTAGACAGACACTTTGGTTCCTGTAAAACCTTGAGCATTGCTTGATTATCGGTAAAGATGATATAACCATCGGGGCTATTGGTATATGCCTGTATATCCTACATAATTTGCAATCTAAGTATAAGGCCCTTGAGTTTTACAGTATATACTGTCAAGGTGCTTACTATGCTTATATACTCTAGTCTTTTTGTTCGAATGTAGTTTTTGGGTTGTGACAAAGTTATCGCTACCATTCTAATATAGCTATTGATTCTGCTACCATCTGTATAGATGTATATCACTCTATGTTTCATATTATCATACTCTCTGATTGCTTCTTCTACTAATAAATTGATTTGAATAGAAGGTATCCTCTACCATAAGGCCATAGTATATAGTTAGCGCTACTTAAGTTGATTAAGCTGCACCTTAAACTTTCTTTTGAGTATGTTTGAAAAGTGGTTTAAAAAGCTTAGTCAACGTTAGACTTAGCTTAAAGATCCTTCGCTATTATAAGGTAAGGCTATGTCAGCATATAATGGTATGGTATAAATCTATATTATAGCCTTAAGCACTATCTTTTCAAGTAGCTACAGCATTAGGAGTAGATAACTCTCTATATCCAACGCTACGCCCGCCATTATGCAGAATATGCTAGTGATGATCTAAGCGGCTTGTTTCTATATTCTTGCGATAGCTGCTACTATGGCACTATATGAGCCAGAGTAAGGATCGCCAGGGTTGAACCATGCAGAATAGCCAAAGAGTATCTAAAGTATAACCATAACTTTATATATATATCGTAAGTTGATTATGCCAATACCTTAAGTTAAGGAGGCTAAGGCTGTAAGAGCCGAAAGTCATTATATAGCTTACTTCTTAATCTTTGTCTGATGGTGGTCCCACCATAGTCTACTATCTATCTATACGCTTAAATATCAGTATAAAGAAGATGTCTTAATCATAGCCTATGGTAGGTAGAAGGTGTAAAAGCTGCTCTTTTTAGGATCTCTTGTAAAGTATATTAGCTTATACTTTGTTAGAGCAAACTTTGAGCCATACTTAGCCGCCTATTCCTTAGCCTTTTTGTGAATACTCTTGAGGGTCTTACAGTTATATGCTATAGATAACCCTACCGTCAGAATAACGATATTGTCAATATATCCGACTACCTTTATATTCTCAATCTTATATATTTTAATCAAGTCTATATTATAGAATAGATAGAGAATAGACGATTTACATAATCCTTATAGGATACCTATATTGATAGGCGTTGGAGGCACTATATACTCTTATAACTTGATGCTGATAGACTGATTGCTAAGGAAGGACCATATTCAGTCAACAATCTTGGTATTTATTCGGTGTTTTCGTAGGTTGTGAATCAGTCGTTTATATAAGACATTATCATATACTCCTAATATGTTAAAAAGTAGAAGAGAGGCAACCTTACCTTTAGCCTATATTTAATATATCTTTTAGAAAAGTAGATAGATAGTATATTCTGTCGATATAAGCTTTCGGCCGCCTATATGTCAGCTTGGGAGGAGCCTATAAACATTGGCCAAATACGACAATCAAGCTGCTATAACAGCTTTTAGCGCCTTCTCTAGCATGTTAAGAAGAGTGATTAGTCTATATGCCTTAGGCTATATATAGTCATTCTTCCCCTATTTTCAAAGGACTATTATAGTCGATTCTTTAAAGTGTTTTAGACAATAGCCTTAGTTAAAACATATATTAAACAGCTTATATAGACTTGGTAGAAGAATGTCGATCGTCTGTTATAGTATACTGTTAGTTATGCCGTCCGTTTCTAGGGCTTTATTTGAAGACGTCCGTCAAATTACTCTCTCAATCTTAGAGGTAGTGATGTTAGAGTATTTGATAGGCTTAAAGTATTGGTATCTTTAAAGGTTAGATAGATCTGTCTGACAAAGAGGTAGGAAAAAGGATAGGCATAGCATCTTAACTTTCTCCTTTAGTTTATAGACAAGCTGTCTGTCCAGTCTTGCTAACGGCAGCATATATACAGCCAATACTTTATATCTATTCTTAGCCTATTTTACCAGATGCCAAAGGCCTAAAGGAGAGAGAGATGCTTTTTCCACCCTCTGCCAATGAGTCTGCCGGAAGAGTTTCTAGATCTATCGACCCTTCTTATTGTATGCCTTACAGTAGGCCTTATAGTCTTCGTCTTACCTTATATATTGCCACCTATGATATAGTCGCTAGACTTCTATATAGATATCCTTACATTCTAGGCCGAATCCTGGCGTAGAATAGGGGCTAGGGTTAGACTATA